TTTAATTTGCATAACAAGTGTTAAAAGTTAATTATTTTAAAAGCGATAGTGATGAGAAATTTCATTACATAATTTGGTACGAGTTTATGTTGTGTATGCAGTTTAACTATTGTACTAGGCTTTTGTAATACTGTTGACTTCATCTTATTTTAATCTTCTAAGTTTTTCTAGTTGTGTGTAATATTGTTGTCACTAGAGGGCTAGAGATTTTGCGATTTTTCTGCCCATTATAAACATGTGCAGATACAGAATTCATGGAGGAAAGTGAGAGATAATTAGACAGATCTAGACTGAGTGATTGGCAGTTTAACTGTGATGAGTAATATCTAAAGTAATTAAACCTGTCTGTGTGGACTTTGACAAAAAAGATATAATTACTTCAAGCTCTGGATACAGCTATGATAACCAATAGTGTAAAAAATTTTTTGTACATACATTTGACTTGTTTTGAATACATTATTTTAAAAAAATGGATTGTATGCTGTCCATTTATTGTTGACACTTAAAGCCAATAATTTGCAGACACTTATTGTAAAGAATGCAGTCCCTATACAAAACCATGACAATGATGTCCGTTTGTTAAATGTTCAGATTCTGGACACAATTCAATGATCAATGCCCTTGTAGTTTGGTATATCTAGGTAAAACTGAAAATATTTTAGAGCTATATCAGATAGGTCTGCTAGATAACAGGAGATACACTCAAGATATTGATTATGGGATAATATTAAATCTCTTATTATGTAAGATGAAATAACAAGACTGGACTAAAACTGTAATACAAATGACCAATCTTTGTTAAACACAAAACACAAACACATCATGTGTACTTGCTGTTACTTGGATCACAGGACTGACTAGTGAAGACCAAGTTCCAGGTTTTACTAACGAAATTACATTCCAGAATAGACTGATAAAATACAATATTCCTTAGATTGCAAGAAACCTTGCACTTACTGTGGCCAGCTTGTGCTATCCACATGACTGGTTATTCTCATTATAACATAGATGGGGCTATAACCTCTAGACATCATCTGAACAGTCACTGAAGGACAATGCCATCAACATAATCCTTACACAATATATATATATTATTAACTAATATCCTTCCTGGGCAATATCAGGTATTATCCATTTCCAAAAATAAAAGGAAGTTTTAAACAAAAACTTAACAGTTTTTTTCTACCATGTTTTATGTCAAACATGCACTTATCTGGAATAAAGAAGCAATTCAAAACAGATACCATAAGAAGACAGAAATGTATGCTATCTTCAAATATCACAGTAGTAAGAGTAACAATTAATAATGTGAGCAATGCTAATTCGTTTTTGGATAGACACCACAAATGATCAGTTATGACATCTTTGATAAGATGCTGAAGAACACAACCATAGTTCCAGTACTACTTTTCATGTAAAAAAAGTGAAACATATCCATCACAAAGTCAGACTTCCAGCACTTTCTGGTACCAAAAATATAGGAACATAGGATTTTTTTTCTATGAAATATAGAAGTTTTTGTAGGAAAATTGCTTAAAATATAGGAGGTTTTGGCACATCACATATTGCATTCGGAAAGTTAGATAAATAGTCTCTGGTTATGTGTGCATATTTTGGGCATATATATATGTAGAAATAACAAAATCAACAGTATGTTTAACTCTTTCACTGTGGCTGGGAGATATATTTCCCAGTGCAGTGGGTAATATACATCCCAGTCGCAGTGAATGGGTTAACATCAACGAAATAAAATGGCCTCCACCACCCCTTGCAGCCTTCACATCCCAGCCTTTTATTACAAAATCAGATGGGTCTAAATTATTTTACAGTATATAAAAAAGATTTACACATTTCCACTTTGATGAAACATAATTTTTCAACTTTTTTTCTTTAAAGAAAAATGCTTTATACTATGAAATTAAAAAACAAAACAATTTTACATCTCTTCTGGTGTGATATTTTACACAAATTAACCTAAAATGATAATATATTATAAACATCATACTGATATTCTGAGGAACACCCAAATGAATGAGATACTGAGTGGTTATGAAATGCGACTTTTCCAGATTGACCAACAAAACTAGTTGTGCCAGTTCCTGAAGGAAAAGAGGATGGCTGTGAGAGGCTGGTGGGATGGAGCCCAATGAGGAAATAATCATCCAAGATGTCCATTTTGATCAACAAAAAACCTGGGGCAAAAGACCACTATAGGGTAAGAAAAGTCCCCATGGTAAATTGAGGGAGCTCAAAAAACCAACTGAGACACAAAATATTTAAGACTGGATGCCTATCCATAAATTCCTTGGTAACCCCAAAGAAATGGGAATAAAAGCCTAGAGAAGGGTGAGAAACTTGTCCAAAACATCTTTAGGCATTAGTTCCAACACTGCCACAGACCAACTTTGGCAAGTAACAATATCCCTTGGAGGAAGGAAAAAAATAGGAACAGGAGATAATAGAAGAGAAAAAAAAATGAAGGGTAAGGTTCTCTGACAGAACTCCCAGTACCCAACAGTCAGCCATAAATGGAGGGCATAGGTCTATAATCTGAACAGGCCCTACTGACTAGCCTATAGGATAGTCACTACCAAGAGTGACAGCACTGAATTCTACAAGCAGGATGACAAGAGACAGAAAGAGGCAAAGAAGAAGCATGGGAGAGAGGGTAAACCAGTGAGGATAAGGAATAATATTGGCATGTAGCCCCAACATGTGACTCCAGAGAAACAAGCGCTCCAGTAAACTCGTACTTGCAGATGAAAGGAGCCAGACAGAGACATATGAGAGAAAAGGGAGACAAATGAACTTGATTAATAACAGCATCACACCCCAACAAACTCTAGCAACAGATCAACCAAATACGAAGTGATAAGGCTGACGAAGATAAACATGCCACTGTAGAGAAGATAAATAAATGAGCATCCATTAAAAACCCATAAGGGAAATGGTGGGTTACCACGAACAGCAAGTCAATGAAGGAAAAATAACGGAATAGGGTTCAGAGTGTAAGACAAAGGTGGGAAAACTTAAGCCTAAGAAAGATGAACAAAATACAGAGGATCTGACCCTATGTCTGAAACAAAAGACATCAGGGTTTAGAAGTCAAAGAAAGGTAATACAGAATGAAGTTATGTCTAGTCACATAAGATAACAAAGAAGGAGGAGAAGGTAAGTATGCACAAAAGTAGTGGTAAAAGTAATTGAATATGGACTTGTATATCTGGATAGAAAGTAAAAGACATGAAAGTAAGAAGCAGGAACAAATTACAAAGTAAAGGAAAGAAATATATCTCAGAAATCCAGCCCCCCCCCTTACAAAAAGGTCCTATAGGATTCCTATCAATAAATTCTTTAAGTAGTCCTTTAAGTGTACTATAATAAACTGAAACATGACAGTCCTATAGAACCCTATACTTATAGGATGTCCTATTGAATTATTTATAAAAGATCCTATAGGATGTTTTTAGGACAATACTATAGGATTTGCTTATAGGACATACTACAGGATTGTTTATACAGTACACTATAGCGTATCCTATAAGATTTGCTCATAGGAGATACTATAGGATTGTTTATACACTACACTATATATATATGTACGAAATTAAATTTGCTGATGATATTAAGGTCTTTGGTGTTAGTTGTGAAGAGAATACTGCTGATTTATGAAAAGATTTGGGTCATATAGTGAGTTGGGCAACTAAATGGAGATGGGTTTTAATTATAATAAATGCAAGATAATGCGTGTGGATTATCACAATTTTAAGTATAATTTGGTTGAGAATTATCATAACAGTGTCAAGAAAGAATGGGATTTTGGTGTAATGGTTGATCAGTCTCTTAAACCATCCAAGCAGTGTGCTGTTGCTAATGGTAAGACAAATAGGATTTTAGGTTGTATCTATAGAAATATTGGATACTAGTCTAAAGAGATTATAATTTCATTATGGAGGTTACTGGTTATGCCACATTTGGAGTGTTGTGTTCAGTCTCGGGCTCCTTACCTTAGGAAAGAATTGAATGGTTGGAAAGGGTTCAGAGGAGGGTTACTAGGGAGTGAGGGTTTGTCATATGAGGGAAGATTAAGATCTTCAAAACTGTTTTCTCATGAAAAAAGAAGAGTTAGAGGGGATCTGATTGAGGTGTTTAAGATTGTAAAGGGAAATGATACATCATCTTTTTTCATACTTAATAGTGAGAATAGTAGGACTAGGGGACACAAATATAAATGTTGGTAAGGTAGAAGTCATCTTCAGCTAAGAACAGTTTTACTTTTCTAACAGGGTAGTTGGCCTCTGGAATGGGTTGTTTTCGGATGTTGTGGAGGCAATAAATTTAAGTGAATTTAAGAGAAAGCTTGAAAATTACGTGAATGTTAGGGGCTGGCTTAAAGTTTTCTTTTAATAGTTTAGTTTAGAGGATGGGACAGCCAAGATGGACCAACAGGCTCCTTGTCCCTAAGCATTATGTTATGTTAATTTTCTGTAGAGAATCCTATAGGATTTGCTTATAGGAAATACTATAGGATTGTTTATACAGATTTATACTTGTCTTAATATTATCTTAAGTTGAAATTACAAAAATGTATTAAAAGAGTGCTTGTAATAAATGTTATTATATGTATTCTTAGTTTCTTATACTTATCCTAGTTCATGCCATTCATGACAGTATTTATGAAAAATCAATAAGTTAAACAAATTGAATAATAAGAGAGTTAAAAAGAACTGAAAGTAGCTAAGATTGAAATTTAAAACAAAAGATATTTTAAACTATGCATTTTGAAGGTTAAATATTGATTGAAATTATCTCTCATATTTCCATAATATGCATACTATTGACATTGGTAACTTTACAGAGTTGAAAGTTGTTGTGTTTAAATTAATAAATGTATGACCATAACAGATGTCACAAAATAATGTTTTTAATTCTCACTTAAAAAACAGCATGATTTTTTTAATTACAAATTTTGGGACTAATTTTTCCTTTGAATTAACTTTGCATCATTATTTAACTTGGCTGATATTGCTTTCTTCACATCCCCTTCTGTTGCTGCCAGTTTCTTTGTTGTATATGCTACAAAAATAATAACAAGTAGTTATTTATCACAGATTATTGTTATGCTTTAAGTTTGTTTCATAACACTTTAAATGTCAATTTATGAAAAAACTTTATGTGAGAAATTAGAAAACAATACTTACTTATAATGGCATCAATGATGTCTTTAGCAAGTGGTTCTTTCATTTCTTTTCCTTTGTATGCATTTGACTAAATTCCTGTCAATGATATTTTTTTACAACTCTTTTGGCATGTGAAAAATTCTTAGCATGTCTGACACTAATTTTGTTATGTCACTATCATTGCATAACTGTAACTTCTTCTTTGCTATTTGAATTTTCCTACTGAGGTCAACTATTTCCTGTAAAAATTGTATATGAACTAGAATTACAAACATGTTTTAAAAGGGCTAGTAGTAAATATTATATGTATTCTCAGTTCTTTATATTTACCTTAGGTTATTCCAATTCTGATAGAATGAATAATAGATTACAATAAATTTGCTAACAACTGGAACAATTAATGAAATATTAGTAAAGGTTAATTTATGATGTCCAACACAACTATGTTTTAGATATCAAAGTTATCATATTTCAATAAAATTAAGACTGGTTTATATAACAATAAAACATACCTTCACACTATTATAAGTCCTAAATATTGTAGGTGAAGATGTCACTGATGTTGAACCACAACTTTTTCTAGTAATTTCAGAATTATCAGTCACACTATCAATCTGTAATCAGGATTCTTAAAACACATTTGTTTTAGAAAGTTCTTGCTTTAGTTCTTTACTTGACTCAACAGGTCTGGTAAATCTTTATACAAAAATATTTGTGTTAAGTATCCAAAATTGCAACTGTATTTTAGAAAATTAATAAAACAACAAAATTATTTTATTTTTTAAACACAGTTTTAAATAATGTAGATAAATTATGTTACTATCACCTTACCACTAATTGCAAAACTTTTGCCTTACCAAGAAAATTACAAATATACCTTAATGTGACATTATAAATTGAATAATATTAAAATATACAGAAAAATATAATTCTGACAAAAAACAAGCAAATTAGAAACTTAAAAGTTACCATTCACAAGTTGTAGCATTTGTCTCAACTTAACATGTTCTGTCTGGAGATGTTTGTTCTCTTCAGTTAAGATTACATTTGTTTTTACATTTTCTTCTTTAAAAGGGAGATATTCCAAAATGCTTTCATGGCTATCATCAGAGATATAGGGTAATAAAGCAAAAGCAATGCATGTAATCATATTGTACATAAAAGTGTGTGTTAAGAAAATACCATTTCATACATACAGTAATATTCAAGATATTTTTAAAAGTATAGTATAAGACTAAGCAAGAAGTCATATGTATATTTTTATTTGTATAAGCTGTATTACAAAAAAGCCAGCATTATATTTATTTCTTTAGATATATAAAACCTTTCATTTAAAGTACTTTTTTTTTAGCCATTCCATCTTTAATAGTCACATAGTGTTTGAAATTTACATTTTTAATAACTCAATATGGTAATATTCTTCAATCTGCAAACTATGTAGTATTTTATTTAGAATTTCACAATAAACATACATCCACATTTAAATAACTGGATTTCTTCTTCTACAGTATTTGTACCATGGCTGTAGAATGCTTTTTCTTATTTCTTTCATCACACTTGTATTACTCTAAAACAGAAAGCAATTGATTCAAAAAAAAAACGAGAAAGCAGAAAATAAGCATATAATAGGTGTTAAAGATACATAATATAAGTTGGAATAACTTTACAAGTAGGCATATTGTGATTATATCAAGATCCCTTGAATAATTACAAACTGTTTTAATACATCAGTTCCATACTTTATTTAACGAGTGTGTTAAATTTTAATTGTGAAGATTGAACAAACCATTCTTTAGGTTGATAATCAGATTAGTTAATGATTTACCTAGATAGTACAAGCACTCCTCCTTTCCCTTTTTAAATTCCCTTAAATATTAATGTAGTTTTATGTGAGACTTCTTTCCAGAAACCTTTAAGTTTAAGTAGTACTAGTAAGACATATGAAGCAAGTATTGTCATGAATTTTACTCTTAGTATTACCAAGTTTTAGTACTAACAATTAATACTGCTAGTATTAGTAACAGTCAGAAAAACATGCTGTATCACTATCTTGTAGTAGTTGTAGAGTTAGTATATAAGGGTGTAAAAGTCAGAGACACAAAAGGGGTGATAATATGCATTTTTATGCAATACGTCTATATGTTGTGTTAAAGAACTAAACAAACTCATATTTAAAGGTACTTTTCTCTTATAGTTAAATTATATTTACAGGTAAATCACAGCAAGATGAATTAGATATCAGAACCCAGAAATGGTGCACAGAGACAGAGAATATATAGGTTCAATGCATCATAGAATTGTTGCCAAAAAGATAAGTTTTATATGTCAGTGATAGATTCTAATAACTAATAATTATTACTGAAGATATTTATTGTTATGTAACACATCTTGAAGTTTTGTCTCCATCTTTATCACTTTGTGCATATTGATTGTCGTACATGTTACGATTCTGATGCCTTAATTTGAAAAACTATTGTGTAAAACTAATTAATTGCAGTAAATATTAATTTAAAATATTTTAAATGTGTATATATTTCCAGAAAGTACAATATACCTACATCTTTTTCATAGTAACACCCTTTTTGTATGTTTCCGACTTTTAGTATTTCCTTTAATAATAATAATAATATTAAATAATATAGTAATACTGATAGTAATAACCAATATTGCATGAAAATTAAAAATTCAATAATAGTTATAAATTGTAAAGTATGATTTAATCTACAATGAATACAACTAAGTTTTAAATTTTTGTATTCGTAAATTAACCACAAAGTAATGTAGAAGCTAAAACACTTACCAACTGCCAAAATATAAGCTGGACAGGGAGTCCACTTTGGATTTTTCTTTCTTAGTTCACCTTTGCCTCCTGATTTTAAACCACACTCTGACCATTGAACTTCAACTACACTCTTTTTACCTTCATCTGAAACTTTACAAACTTCATTTTTATAGAAGTTTTTCACACAGTATAAAAGTCCTATTTCAACAGCATTTTCTTCAAAGAAATCAGTTAAAACAAATGAATTATTATCTAACACGATCAACTCCAGGACGAATCATTAGTCAAAAATATGGCTTTCAAAGGTTCAATCTCATTAGCTAATATGTGATCACATTAGAAAATACTTTTATACATTAGATATTTATTAGTTAACAAAAACAATGTATTTTGATAAATGTAAAATTATTTTTAAACATATAAAATTACATTAAACTTTAAAAATTCATTATCACTAGCACATGCTAGCTGCAATATGAAGTAATGTTGAAACAGAGGTCTTTACTTTATTTGTTGTTGCTATATGATGTGGATATTTATATAATTATATTGGAATGTTTCAAGATAATTAAAATCTCTTAAAATATTTTCATTTTTTATCTACTACATAACTTCTTGTTTATTTTTATGTCCAAAATATGTTCTATAATAAAGCAACTAAGAATAACCTTTGCTATGGAAAATATTTCTTAATTTATTTTGATGCTTTTTATTTTATTTTCTACAGGCTACAAGTAATCATGAACCATTCTACTCTGGTTCTCCACATTCTACAAAAGCAAGTGTACTATTAATCATATTAAACATAAGCTTTTGGATCATGCATTACAAGACATTCTGTCACTATTATCATGTTTGATAAGAAAATTTCCAAAACTATTTAAACATTTGTTTTATAAATGTTTTAGTTGTTTTGAGTATTGTGAAATCATACAACATTTTTATTGCATTTCTGTGAAAGTTATTTGTGTGCTGATAATATGTGTAAAGAAACTTAGAATTGTTCAAAATGTAGGGAATGTTTTGACGTAAAAGAGTTTCAAAGATAATAGTTATTTCATTCAAATACCATTGAAAAGACAACTAAAAGATCTGATTGAAAAGGAAAACATATGTAGTATCACAAATGAATGAGCAACAGACAGTTTAAGCAATATTACTTCAGGAAAATTGTATAAAATAGCCAAGTAGTCTGTTTTTTGTCCACATGATATTTCCATACAGTAGAGCTGTGACAGAGTTTCAGTTTTCAAGTCATGTCAAAAAAGTATCTGGCCAATTCAAGTTACAGTTAATGAAATTTCACCTAAAAAGAGATGTAAAATATTCTACTATCTCATTTGTGATTTGGCTCAGGTAAACTACGTATGGAAGTTTACTTGGAGACATTTGTGGATGAATTAAGAGTGCATAAGTGCAAAAGTGCATACTCTTGTCTGCTCAGCTGATTCACTTGCAAGACCACAGTTTAGAGATACAAATCAGTTTAATTGATTGTATGGGTGTGATTTTTGCTTACATCCAGGTAAAGTAGTACCAAAAAGTAATGACTTTACCAGAGTTTATCCATTAGAAGAACACAATGAGTATGCATTCAGGAGTAGTGAGCAACATGAAGCTGATGCTCTCCAAGCAGTAGAAGTTGGACATCCTGTAAGTGGTGTCAAGGGACCCTCTCCTTTGCTATTTTTACCTGTTTTCAACATTGTTAGGTATTTTGTACCTGAATACATGCATTGTGTTTTACAAGGTGTTGTTAGAAATTTTGTTTTTTTTATGGCTAGATTCAAAACATTACATGGCTCTATGGTGTATATAAAGATGCTTCACTGAACTTGATAGATGTCTTAAACAAATTACACCACCAAAAGAAGTCACAAGAACTCCAAGATCTATTCTTGATTGGAAATACTGGAAAGCATCTGAATGGCAATAATTTTACTATATTATTCAACCCCTATCCTTTCCAATAAATTACCTGAGAGTTATTTAAGACACTGAGCACGTCTTGTGTTTTCAGTTTACAAACTTCTTCAAGATTCAGTAGCAAAATCAACTGTTGAAAAAGTGGAACTTGTCCTAAGAAGTGTAAGAAACTGAAATTCTGTATGGACAAGGTCTTATTACTATTAACATTCATTTTTTGTTGCACATTTCAAAAAGTGTTTATTACTGGAAGCCACTGTGGCCAACCTCTGCTTTTATAAATGAGGATTATAACAAAGTTTAAAAAAATATTAAAGGAACACAATACATCTCCAAGCAGATCTATTAGACTTACCTTATTCTCCAAGAAATTCAGAAACAAACAATAATTTTGTTTGCTTAACAAATTACTAGGTTATGTGAGGATTCGGTTGTCACATTCTAGAAAATTTGGTAGTGCATTTATCAGAAGAGCATAACATTTCAGTTATTGAACACATTGCTATTTGTAGATTGCTTGATAAAAGATGTAATTTGAGGGAAAAAGTATTTTTTATAACAGATTTATTTTTAAGCATGTTTTATACCATACACAGAGCCATAAATGCAGTACAAAACGATCAAATTCTATAGTAGAGTTTGAAAATGGTAATATTGTGGACATTGTTGCTGCTATTGTAATTAATTGTGAAAATGAAATGTGTGGAATTCATAAAGACACTGATATTGTTCTAGTAAAACCATTAATAAAAGTTAAAGATTTTATTAATATGGCACCTTAAGTTCAATGAGTTGATGCATTTTTGTAGGAGATATTTAAAATATCAAAATGAAAATTGATAAAAAAAACTTTATGTATGTATAACACCAAACATAAAAGATAAAGATTAAATAAAAAAACATACATTGAATTTTTTATGTTATTCTTTGATTATACATAATTTTAGATATACAATCATGTATTAAGCTAATTAGAAACACATACTGATTTTTCATGTTTAACTAGGATGGCAATTGTAATGTATATAATCAAAGTTTTCTGTTTATTATTATATTTAAAAATAAAATGTTCCTTTGACATTTTTGTTTCTTTCATTAAAATTATTCTAGGAAAAACTTGAATTGCTTGTTAATTCTATATTATTAAATTCTTATGACCTATCATCTTATGTGATTTATGTCTTAAACAATATGTGATGACTATTCCTAAAGATTATAATGGCCTATCTAAAATGCTCTACAAAAATGTTTGGAATTAACACAAAATTTTAGGCGATTTCTATATAGCACTGACTATGCATACTTTATTTTCTCTCATATAACCTTTTCACTATAAAC